ATCAAATAAGCATAAAATCTTCCCATATAACCAAATAAATGCTCACGGCCGGAGTCAATACAAAGAGATGAACAGCAGCTAAAGCTCTCGGCCAAGGAAACCCACAAGGGAAGGCAACTACTAAGGCTCACGACTCAGCGACTCAGGGCAGCAAGGAACAGCTGCTAAGGCCCACGACCAAAGGCAACCCAAGGAACAACAAATAAGGCTCACGGCTAAGGCGACCAAAAAGGAAGGAGCTGTTAAGGCTCACGGCCGAGGCAACCAAAAGAACCACCAGTGGCTACTATGCTTCCTCGACATACATAAGAGGATAACTAAAGTGATTATAATTTTTTGGGATGTCAAACTTGATTCATTAATAACATTCGAGTCATTCAAGCCTAGCAAGAAGGACCAAATCACACCAAACAACTTTCAATAGGCCTCACGGGTAAGGACTGCAAGAGGAGAAAATCTCATTGGTGAGCTCACGGTTAGGACCAAAGGGGGAGGCTGATTCAACCACATCACAAACCCACTGCTAGGAACCAAGCAAACATCAAACTGCGGCCTTATAAACTTCCAAACCAATCCATCAAAACCAGATAACAGCTCTCGAATAAGGACAAAGCAGGCTCTCGGACGGGAGCCAAGGCAAGCAAACCGAGCCCCTGAACAAAACCAAAAGCAAACCATTCAAAGCCCATGCATGAAGCTTAAACAGTTAGGACAATGTTTGAACTAAAACCAAAAGCCAAGCCCCAACAAAACCAACATCCCATGCCCTTTCAAGGTGAAAACCGAGCCCCAATGGAGGCTAGAAACCAAAATTTTATAAGCTACAAATGCAGTTTATGACAATAAATCCAAACCCAGTCAACCTTGAGAAAACCGAAAACCAGCATGGGCCAAAAAATCAAGCCGCAGCTAAGGCTCAAAATCAGGCCACAATAAAAAGCTAGAAAAAAAAACACATTCATGCCTTCAAAATATCAAAAACATAGGGCCACCACATGCTTCAAATAAGAACAGCTAAAGAGCCTTTTCAAATCAATATAAACTTCTTCCTAGCATGCATTTCAATGTCTCATGCTAGATAAGAATAAATGAAAAGCTTCATGATACATATCTCAACATGCTTACAAGAGGAGCTACCATTGTCTCAAAACCACATTCTAATATTTCTGATTTGCTTCTCATAGAAATATGCTACGATAAATAGAAACATGTCATAGCTTCACCACTTTAAGCAAGTAATCAAGTCTAACTCCTAGAACATGCTCACATTTTTATCCTTCACATGTTCCTAAGGCGAATATCTCAAAATACATGAAAGTGAACTAAACTAGCATGTTGTACCATCCAACAAGAAAACCGAAAAGAAACAAGGCACCGAAAAAAGGGAGGAAGAAGAGATACCTTCCTAATGCAAATGTAAAGCTCCCACAGAAATCTTCCTTCTAAAATCCTCCAAAAGCAAAGTTCTCCACTTCCCCTCTCCTTAGGAAATTTTCAACAACCACAAAACCCAAAAGAAACTGTATTTATAGGCAGAGAAGAGAAAGAAAAAGAATGAAACCATCCCCCCTCCCCCCGGTACTCGAATCGGGTCAAAGAAGAAAAGAACGCTCCCCTCTGCCTTATCGCAGGCGAGGTAGACCAAGTGGCGAGCCGAGTGGCAGCGAGAGAGGCATCGGGAAGAAGAGAAAGTTGCCACCCGAGTGTTCCAGGGAGCAAGTTCCTCAGAGTCAGCCTATCAAGAAAGGAAAATCGCAGCTCATAGAAGCAGGCGCAGCTTCGGGAAGGAAAGTCTCAAGCAGAAAGTGTCGGGCAAGGACGAATGAGAAGTCAACTCTCCCTCGCGTAGAGGAGAAGGGCTCGATCGACTCGAGACCGAGAAAGGGAAAAGCGGGACACAAGAAACTCCTATCGAAAA